ATATATATATATATATATATATATATATATATATATATATATATATATATATATATATATATATATATAATTTGTTGAGGGAAAAACCCTCTCACTACTAAATTGTAAAAATACACAATCAATTGCATCCTATGATAACTATATTTCCTTTGGGTTAATTCTAAAGGATAAAGAAACAGATTATTGTGGGAATTCATCCCAGAGGTAAAAGGGCTTGAATTTAGAAGAAACAGACCATTGGTTCTCAATCGGGAAGTTATGATTCCCAGAGACTCTTACTTTATGGCTAGATTGAGAATATCATTCACCTCCTATCACTTCTGTTCTATCATGGAGTTACAGAACAGAAAAAGTTTAGAACCAGTGAAACAGACAATATAGTGAATGATTTGCTTCTGCTGATACTGAATGATAAATCTCCCAATTACTTCAGTGGGAGCGGGATCAGCCCTGTAAAATGCTGAGAGCAATGCAAGTGGGATTATCACCGCCACAGATTGAGACACTCACTGTTGCCAGTTTTTGAACAGCCTCATCTGATGCCCCAAGCGATGCCAGGCCAATTTCCTGGGAGAACTGAGCAAAACTGGGTTCAGCCAAGAGTGGGACATGACCCAGGAGTTCATGACAGGTATCGCTGAAAAAGAAACAAAGCAGAAGCCATGAGATGATGCTCTTTCTTGCTGAGGGTGTGAAAAAGCAGCACCATCCAACGAATACAATTGTCTCAGAAGAAAACTCTTTGTAACACTGAAAAATGATTTAATATCAAAACAACAGAAAAACATTTCTCTTATTAGAGTGCATAATATTAACTCTACAGAAAATACTTAGATCCAAATTTTCAAATCTGGATGCCCAAAGTTAAGCTCCTAAACCCATATTTAGGAGCCTAGGGTGAGATTTTCAAAATTGCTTAGTGTTGGCCTAACTCTGCTTCCATTTAAGTCAGTGAGAGTTTTCTGGGCACTTTTGAAAATCCCATCCCTAAGAAAGAGTTGCCTGATTTTCAGAAGTGCTGTGCATCCAAAAATCTCAATGAAGTCAGTGAGAGATGCAGGCACTCAGTATCTTTGAAAATCAGGCCATTCTTACCCAGATGCCTGAATATGGATGTAGAAGCCTAACTTCAGGCACCCAGGTTTCAACACTTTGTCTATAAACTACAGTTTTGTGCACATATTTGACTTCTCCCCAGAAATAAAATAACTTACGGCTCTGGAGTGTAGAGAGGGTCCGAGCTGTGCCTAACATACTGAGTGCAGTGAAAAACTCTGAATGCTAAGCCTGCCAAGAAATCTCTGGGTGACAAATATCCAGCAACTGGACGGATGGTGAAACCTGTCCGCTCTGAAAAGCAATAGATAAATCATAGGTCAATGTGATGTAGAATTTTATAATGTTCAAAGCTGTGTTTCTCCTCTTACTTCTAGATTAAATACCACAGCATGGCTTTGCTCAAGGACAAGGAGGAAAACTAGAGATGAGCTATGATCAAAATTCCCACATTTGAAATTACCAAGATATTGCCAACATACTTCTGACTTTGTGTGTTTTCTACTGTTTTTTCCCCTAGACCCTAGCACAATGCCTAACCATCTCATTCACATACTCCAGCAGTCACATTAGTGCTGGCCTTGCCCACAGATTTCACAATTATATAAAACTATAATACAACATATTTAAAAATGGGGGGGAGAGGGAAAGATATAATAAAGGACCATAAGGGAGAGGGGTGAAAGTGTCAAAAGGGTTGCTGTTTGCCTTTATGGTTTACTCGCATATTATTCATGCTTTGGTTAGCAATGCTTTGCAGTCCATGTCAGTATAGCATGTTGTCTCATCGTGTAATGATTCCTTTCTCTTTCTCCTTTGATTCATTGTATTGTGTTCAGAATTACAGAGCACTCACTTTCATAGATTCAAACCTTTTAAGGCCAGAAAGGACCATTATGATCATCTAATCTGAGCTCCTGGACAACACAGACCATAGAATTTCTCCAAAGGATTCCTGCATCAAGTCCGTAACTTCTGACTGAGCTAGAGACATCCAGTCTCGATTTAAGGACTTCATGTGATGGGAAATCCACCACCTCTCCCTTTTGGAGAAAAATCTCTCTCTAAGAAGAGATCCTATTTTAAAACTGGACTCTGTGCTTTTCAAATGTACAGCATGCAGGTCATATACACCATGTGATCCCCACACAAAACTTCCACTGACAGCAGTGGCTGTATACAGTCCTTTTATTCTTAAAGTATTATGTGGCACAGGAACAAGAGAATACTTATGGTATTGTTTTAGTCACAAAAAAGTACATACTGGGCATAAGAGGTTCCTTAAAATGCATGCAATAGAAAAATGTAATATTAATCTCTATAATGCTACACGATTTTTGTCTGCCTTCCCACAATGTACATGTGCACCCCTGCCCCATATTGATTGGATTATAGTACTTGCTGAAGTCACAATCTAGTAGCTAAATACTGCTTATAATTTGTAGTGCCAATATGAAGAGAGAGAGAGAGAGAGAGAGCATGCCACCCTCTAGTGGCTGTGATTTACAGAGGAAAGAGGGGCAGGTTTTTAGAGGTTTATAGATGCCTAAAGATGCAGATAGGCATCAAGCGGGATTTTCAAAAGCACCTAGGTGTTTAACTCCCATTGGTATAGCAGAGAAATTAGCACATTACCTTTCAGGAAGCACGATACATCTTCCAGCTGGGGGATATTGTCTTCTCGGTACCCACAGTATTTGGTGAGTAAGGGTAAGTTTTTAAGGTACTCTCTGCAGGCATGAGTTGGGTAGAGCTTGTTGAGCTCTCTGAATACAGTGCCCCAAGTCTTGATCTCCTCCTCAGTGAATTCAATCTTGGGGATTGGGTCACCGCTATAATGAAAGGAG